GCCGGCGCGACAAACACCGAGGTCAGGGTCCTGAGGGTAGGGGAATACAAGAAAAAAAGAGAGAAGAGAAAGTTTGGGAACAGGAGGGTCCCCTGGGCTGATGGCCCAAGTGACGGCTTTATTGTTGCTATACACAATCTTTTATAACCAGACTCTTATGGGTTAGGTCATTCTAAGAATAAACAGGTTTCACATAATTGCTGCCCACCAAAACATTTAGTTCTGTGTTTCTTGTGCATTTTCTAGACGGGTCACAAGACCTTGCTGATAAGATTGCTAGCAAAACACAATTCCCATGTTTGTTACTATCTGACTCGGGGTAGAAAAAGGGAGGTAGCATTACTGCCAACACCTGCAGACCACAGTCTTCAGGAATTAACTTTCTCAGCCTTGACAAGGCTTTCATATGCCCTTGAAAGTGGGGGAATGGGAGGGGGAACCACCGGGTTGGCTTGAGTCAACAGGGAATGTTGCTCGACCCAGTCTCAGCCTGGCGCCGGGGCCTGGCCTCCCACATGAATGGGAGGGGGAACCACTGGATTGGCTTGAGTCAACGGGGAACATTGCTCGACCCGGGCTCAGCCTGGCACCGGGGCCCGGCCCCCCACAGAAGGTAAATTTTTTTTAGCCTAAGATCTTCTGAATGTAAACATCTCTGAGTACACTTCAAGTGAAGTGGGCCAGTACCAAAGCAGGGACCAGGAGGACCAGGATAGTTGGTATTTCAGAGCTTTGCCTAGTTTCATGCATGCTTTCCCTCAGAACTTTCCTCCATGGGGCCTTGTGGTAGAAGGAGACAGGACTGTCTGGGGCAAGAGTCCTGAAATGCTTAGGAAGTTATGCCAGGTTAGCCTGAAGCACCAGATGCTCCTAAAAATGAAATGTTCCTAAAAATGAAAAAAAAAAAAACTTGTCAAGGTTTAGGTATCAGGTGATTAAAAAAAAATTTTTTTTACATTTATTCATTTTTGAGAGACCAAGAGAGACAGAATGCAAGTGGGGGAGGGGCAGAGAGAGGGAGACAGGATCTGAAGCTCTGAGCTGTCAGCACAGAGCCCAATGTGGGGCTTGAACCCATGAACTGTGAGATCATGACCTGAGCCAAAGTCAGACACTCAACCAACTGAGCCACTCAGGCACCCCATCAGGTGATTTTTTTTTTTAAATTGAGAGTGCAGGAGAAATATAAAGGCCTAGAAGCTAGAGCATCTTCTGTTGGCTTTCCCAGGAAACTTTACCTGAGTCAGCAGTCAAGTGCCTTTTAGAGGCCAGCCAGGGTCACTTATCAGAGTTGGGACACATTGGTAAGACAGTATGCAGTGAATGAGCAGGATCCCTGCACAGAGACATCTTATGAGTGCCATCAAACGGAGTGTCAGATGACAGAAGAAGAGATTCTGACAACAGGTTCTAAAGTGGGGGAACATCCAGAGAACAGCTGGAGATGTGAGTCTGAGGTGCCCCAGCTAAAGTCAAAGGATGCTTGGGTCCGGCTCTTATGCATTCCTTCTCTCAGTAAACATGAAGTGTCTTGTACACACCAGAGCCCCATGGAGAGGCACTTAGGGGAGTCAGGCTCCTAAAAGAAGCAGGTGTCTAAATAGGTAATTCTATGTGGAGAGTTTTAAACTGGTGTTCTGGAAACACAGGATGGAGCCTCTGATCCCAGAAAAGTTGGGAAAAGCTGCAAAGCTTCTGACTGGGTGTCAGAGAGGGTGTTCTGTTCAAAGGGACCAGCATGTTGATGGGACAAGGAGGTAAGAAGAACCAACATGGTGAGAGAATGGCAGGAGAGTCATGTGGGAGGCAGGTGTTTGTGGGGGAAGCATAGGAGATAGGAATATGGAGCTGGACATAGAGGGAAGGAAGGTCTACTCTCCAACCTTGGTCCCACCTCATTTTTAAGGACTTCTGTCTCCTTACCATAGAACAAAGGTTTGGAGGAGAATGCTTCCAAAATTCCCCCCAGTTCTAAAATCTTGAGTAATCTTTGACCAACGCAGTCTGAATGAAATATTCATGGTTTGAAGAACTAGACTAGTAGCACCCTTGAGTAGAGCTGGAAAGTACACTATGAAGGAGTAAAAACCAGCAGGGTTATTATGTGCGTGAGCCCTGCCGCTGGGGGCTCCCACCCACCTGGGTCTGCATCATGATTCACCTGATGCCTGGGACGTGCATTCAGGGAGAGAGCTGCTGTGCTGAGTGCTGGGGGGAGGGCAAGAAGGGATTGAAAAAACACATTGAATTGAAGAAACCAGATTACTTTGGATAATAGAAAAGGCATGAACTTCCTCCCTTCATCCCCGCAAATCTTCCAAAACCTGCTCAGCAATGAAAGGGAACATCTAGAGCACAATCACCCTTTAGTGCTTCAAAGAACAGCTTTTCTTACTATACTCCTCTTTTTCCCCTTCCTCTCTTTCCTTGTTCTATAAGCTCAATTTCCTGACCCCTTGTCAGTTTCTCTCTTAAAATAAGTTCTCTCAGACCAATATTTCAATGAGGAATGAATCTGATGATTGATACCGAAGCTAGTAGTCAGTCTCCTACCTTTTGACTTGTTCTGCCCATGCCTGGTACTTGGTCTCTGTTAGTCTAAGGTGCAATATCAGATGAGGTGCCTCAATATCATTCATATCTGGCTAGGAGAAGAATAATTTCATGTGATAGTGGAACCAACACTGTGGCCTGTCCCATGGAAGAGACCCCTATCTCAGATTTCTTGTGCATTTTTCAAAACCAAGGAGCCCATCTCTTGGGAGTGAGTGGTAGCACTGTTTGAAAAATGCTATAAATCCTGTACATAAACCCTTACTCACAGTCAGCCTCTCTGTGCTCAGATACTTACAATTCAGCCCACTGTTGAATGTAAGATTACCATTGAGTTCACCAGGGAAATTCATCAGGGATTCCCTGAGTTCACCAGGGAAATTAGTCTTAAGAGCCAAAACAGTTCCCTTTGTGATTCCAGCATCTCGGTGCCGAGATGCCAGGCCCCTGCACAGTGGGATTCTTTGGTATCCCAAGACAGCAGCCCCCTCGGCCTCTCCCCCGTCTTCGGCCTACAGCAATCCTCTGGGACCTCTTGCTGACCCAGCTTCCCGCTGGCACACATGTGCTGTTCTTTCCACCCAGAAAGTGCCTTCCCTCCCCCTCAACTGGCCTCTTTCTTTCCATCCTTCAGAACTAAGCTCAGATACTGCTTTGAAGGAAAAGAAGTTTTTTGGATCGCCTTACTATAACACATACCCTTGTTTAAAACCTCTTGTTGCACTGAATTGTACACATAAAAATGGTGAAAAGTGGTCACTTTTACATTATGTATATTTTACTGTATACACACGTGCATGTGCGCGCGCGTGCACGCGCGCGCACACACACACACACACACATACTTATGACTGCACCTTCAGTTTTCCTTCTTATCACTTACCAGAGTTGTAAATCAGTGATTTTGTAAATTTGTTGTTTGCTGTCCCCCTCCTCTATCAGAATTCAGGTTTAGTGGGTGGGGAGGGACTTTACCTTACTCTCTATAATGCGAAACATGGTTCTGGGATGAGAGCATGTGCTTAAACATTATTGAATGAATAATGAACTAGAACACAGGTCTGAGAGACACAATTTCAGCCCTTTCCTGAATTATTTCCTGACTGACTGATGGACTTACACTTAACATCGTATTCATATTCTTAAAGACTTTATCGCCTCCTTTTTTCTTAAATTTCGTTTCTGTGTGGTCACGTGGCTTTGACCACGATGCAGCTGGCTCTCCTGCTCATCCATCTTTCACAAGGTAGTAGGGTGCCCACACAGTGTGGGCATATTGGGTGAGGTTCTGGAAGGTTCCACGAGTCCCATCACAGTTTCCCAGCTGTGTCTGTGCAGGACAGACAACTTGACCCTTCTCAGAATGACTTCCTGTGTTTCTAGAAATACAAGGTATAGTACAAATGTGAGGTGGGAAGAACCATTTATCCATTTGTCAGTCATTTGTTGAATGCCAGTGATGTGACAACATCGGAGAATTTTCAGATGAATTAGACAAAGGTCCTGTCCTTAAAGCAGTCAGCTCTACTCTTCATTAGACTTTAAGGTCACATAGGAGGTCAGCCATACTTAGAACGTAGAGATTTTATATCTGCGGCTCTTTTATGGAGTATGAGTACTTTCTCTAGTCCTGTAGTTTTTCTATATTTAAGGTGTGCTCTCTGAAGGTCACCATGTAAAATTTATTTCTGAATATTCACGTAATAATGGAGAGAAAATGGCTAGAAAGGATAAATGTTCTTATCCGTGTTGCTTTCCCAGCGAAGAATGGAAAATGGGGGACATGGGCAGCGAGGCAAAAGCTGGGTCAGCCATGGCATTCAAGCAAAATTGAGAAAGCATCTCCTGTTTTGACTAAAATTGAGTTTAGGTCAGAGCCATGGACAGGAAAGAGATCGCGCCAACCCTTGCAACGCAGCTAAGCATTTGGAGCTATTTGAGACAGAAAGCTCACTGAGAGACCTTCTAAGTGTGAGTGGGCTGCATTCAGGGGCATCCCAGAAGTCTGCAAGCCAGTGGTCTCCCTGCTGTCACACAGCCAAGAAGGTCCTGGGGGAAATGTCAGAGGAAGTCTAGCCTGAGGAACCAGGCACCAAGTCCCGCCCTCTGACCCTAGCACGTGGGAGTCAGTGCCCAGGGATCTCCGAGTCCATGGGCCCAGGCCAACCACTGTGTGCCCTGAGCCCCACCTCCCCACTGTGCTCTGAGTCCCACCTCGCCGCTGCACCCTGAGTGCCAGCTCCCCGCTACGCCCTGAACCCCACCTCGCCTCTGTGCCCTGAACCCCAGCTCCCCGCTGCACCCTGAGACCCACTGCTGTGCCCTGAACCCCGGCTCCCTGCTGCACCCTGAGCCCCGCTGCTGTACCCTGAACCCCAGCATCCCAGCTGCGCCCTGAGCCCCACCTCACCGCTGTGCTCTCGTTCAGGTTCCTCTTGATGATGGGCGTGCTCTTCTGCTGCGGAGCTGGCTTCTTCATCCAGAGGCGCATGTATCCCCCACTGCTGACCTAGGAGCCCGCCTTCAACGTGTCCTACACCAGGCAGCCCCCCAACGCCACTCCAGGTCAGCCCACCCCTCGTCCTTGTCTCTGCTCTGTGCACTCTATGTGTCCTCTGCAAGCATTTGTGAAAGTCACTGCTATGGAATATGCTAGAAGAGAAAATTCAGGCTGTGTTTATTCATTTAGTTCTGATGTGCATCTGGTTCTCACTGTGCATTTGTGTTGATATAAAGTGCAGCATCTATTGGACTGTATGTCTGTTACCTCATATTCTTACCTAATTAGTGGTGAACCTTTTATGCATGTTTTTAAGGTTCCTATAACCATATTGTTTGCTCTCTGTCATCACCCTTAAAAATTATTTCATATACATTTCTATACAAGCAGTGTGTCCCTGCCATCATAATACATTGGGACTAAATATTAATTATGCTACTAAATGGTGATTTGCTTAGATATTCTGTCATTGCTGACCATTTGTTTTCTCTTGTTTTTCTTTTTATTCATTCATTCAACAAGTATTTACTATGCATTCACTAGTATTCTGAGTACTTATAAATAGAGCACATTTTTGCACAAGTTACATTTGGCCTAATAGGGAACATTACCCAAAGTGATGCCACAGACTCAAAAAAAATAGTGGTTTCTTAATTCTTACAAAACTGCTTTCCCTATCTAAAACTGTCAGGTACTATGGAGGGTGATTTCCAGCCTCCCTTGGGACACAGGCTGGTTCCCTATTGTTGACGTTATATGTGAGATGTTTTCCTTCCCTTTCAGGGCACCTTCTGAGAAAGAAGGGATAGCAGGGTGGCTGGGGATTGCTCAGTAGAGCTCCTGTCTTTTGGCCACTATGTGCTAAGGTGAGGCGACAGGCATCCCTCCTGTGTTTGCTGCCCTACTGGACACAGTCTCCACTTAGGCAGTGGAAGGCGGGAGCTCTCTCTTTTCATTACACGCCCCAGGTAGACACAATTCTAGGAGCAGTTTCTGCCTTGTTTTTTATGAAGTTTCAGTCATGCAGGATGAATATGTCCTACAGATGTACTTTACAGTGTAGAGCTTATGGTTAACAGCACTGTATTGTCCACTTCAAACTTTATGAAGATGGTAGCTCTTACATTAAGGATTCTTATCACCATAATAACAGTAATAAATTTGGAGGTGATGAATAGATTTATGACATATATAGTGGTGACAACTTCACAGTATGTATTTATCTCCAAACTCACCAAGTTGTATACATTAAATAGGTCCAGCTTTTTGTATATCCATCATAAATTTTTTTTCAAAAAAAAAAAAAAGCATTGGGGGGATTGAGTGTGAGTTTTCTCACTCCTGTTCTCATGAGGACATGCTGTTCTCAAGATGCAAGGGGAGTGGAGACAGACATTTATTTTTTAGATCTTTTACAGTTTTCTTCCACCAGATACTCCCCAGTTTTATTTTAATTTTTTTAATGTTTATTTATTATTTTTGAAAGAGAGACAGAGAGCAAGGAGGGGCAGAAAGAGGGAGACACAGAATCTGAAGCAGGCTCCAGGCTCTGAGCTGTCAGCACAGAGCCTGATACGGGGCTTGAACTCACAAACCATGAGATCATGACCTGAGCCAAAGTCAGACACTTAACCAACTGAGCCACCCAGGCGCCCCTCCCCAGTTTTTTTTTTTTTTTAAGGAATAGCCTTTATTATTTGTTTAATGTTACTAAAAGATCTGAATATGTATTTTCTGTAACAGTTCAGAGGTTGCTGTGCATTAAAAGCTTTCAACCAGGGTTAGTACCACTTTTCACGTGTAAGTGGATTTTTATTCTTTCATATTCCAACATCAGGAGAAGTGCAAATTTTCAGTTAAAGTTGGGGGGTGGGGCTCAAAATAAGATTTCATCTGGATTAGTCTGAGTCCATCTTTTTTTTCCCCTCAAGAAAGAAACAAATCAGAGAAATTGGGTCAAAGGCTTCTAAATTTCTTCTTTTTATCTGTCATCACTTCCTGCTTTTCTCTCCTGGGTGTTTTGCCACATGCATTAACAAGCATTGATTGTGCTGAATTTTAATCCCTTCTGTATACTTTGGGCCCCTCAGTGAGCCCGTGCTTCAGTACAATTCACATCTCAGGCACCAGGCAGTCTTATGTCTGCCAGCTGAGGGAACTGGTCAGCCTACGGTCGGGATTCACAGTGGCCACGCTTGGAGCCCGGAGCTCCGGGCCATGCAGAGAGTGGCAGTCTAGGAAGAGAAACTCGGTGCCTTGACATCATATGGTAAGTTTGCAGGATAAGTATTATGCAGAATCAACCGCTCAGGAATATGGTATCTTCGCGAGACACAAGCCAGTATTTGTGGACTTGCTGGGGTGGCTCCCTTTCTCCTCTGTTGATCTGGGGGGTGGGGAGTGGATTTGGTGAGCTTTGCTTATGCATGAAGAAGAAAAGGCAGAATGTTTTAGAGAACCTACTAGCTCACTGGAGGACGGGGGAGAGTGGCAGCTCACGTCCTGGTACGCACAGGGACACACAGCTGTGTTCCAGCTGGGACCAGCACCCCAGGCCAGCGTGGCTGAGTGGAGGAAAGCAGATCTACACCATTGCAGACCTGCTTCTACCTGGGACAAGGGGAGAACTGTGACCTCATTGTGGTTCTAGGGGGCTGATGCAGGTTGGAGCAATACCTAGGGGAAGATACTGACAAACAAGGTGTGTAACTGAAGTTCAGAGGTAGGGCTCCAAGTCTGCCCAGGAACAGGAAGAAACAAAGGGTGAAGCTTAGGGCCTACCATTAGCTCATTTGGGCCTTGAGCTAGGTGAGGGATGTGCAGAGAAGCTGTGGTCTGGAAAACAAAAAGGGGCACCTGGACAGGGGCTTAGGAGGCCTAAGGTCTGTGAGATCAGAGTGGACCATGTCCCTTCTGAGCCTCAGCACTTTATCTGCAAAATGGAATCATATAAAGAAAAGCACTCCTCATTTTCATTAGCCTTTCTATATAGAGGAAGCCAAAATGTCACTGAAGAAAGCCAGAGCTCCCTAAATGCTGTCTCCCCCCCTGCCCCAATCTTTCCACATCATGCTGCTGACAGGGCCCATTGGACATGTCCTGCTGGGTAGGGAGGAAAGATAGACTTCACTCATTCATTCAGACATTAGCTAACTTGGCAGCAGCCGCTGTGTTCACACAGGACGAGGGGAGTGATGAAGACGTCCACACTGCTGCCCTTTCACAGCTTGTGGCACGAGGGGTGGGATGGGGAAGAGGGTCAGAGGTACAAGCTTCCAGTAATAAGGTAAGTAAGTTCATGGTGACTATAGTTAACAATACTTTACTGCATATTTGGAAGCTGTTAAGAGGGTAGATCTTAAAAGTGCTCATGACAAAGGAAAAAATATATATGTAACCATGCAAAGTGATGGATATTAGATAACATTGTGGTGATCATTTTACAATGCATAGGTATATATCAAATAATAATGTTTATATCTTCAACTTACACAATGCTCTGTGTCAGCTATACCTCAGTGCAACTGGAAGAAAAAAGGAACTTTGAGAACAATCAGAAAAAAACATAAAAGCCGTGGTAAAGCAGAGTTGTGGGTCTGGAGGAGGGCAGGCAGGGCCTGGATTTCAGGAAGGTCTGAGTGGTGGTCTGAACTGAACGTGGTGCCCACAAGAGGAATGTGGGGAAGGGGGAGGAATGGGGGCTACCAAGAAAAGGATGATTCAATGATGGCCTCTCTTCTTTATGGGATATTATGTGGTCACCAAAGTTAATGGTCAAAATCAAGGCCATGTAACTAGCCAGACAACTGTAAAGCCATGTTCAGGGAAGAGGGCAGTGGGTGACATGCTATTTTGAGTATGCAATTCCGACTGTCTAATCGCACAAATGCACGGAGAGGGATCAAATAGAACAGTCAGTAATGACATCGGGGGTGTTAAAGCGATCTGAGTTTTCTTGAAAGATAGTTTGCTTTAATACTGATTAATGTGACTAATACTGATTTAAAAAGATAGAAGATGCAGCATTCCATCCAGTATTCCACTGGGAGATACATTTTTCTTCCTTTCCAGCGGTGCATTTATGGTGAGTTTGTTGATGGTTTTCTGACTGTTCTAATGTCTCAATCTTGTACCAAATCTGTCAACCTGCAGTGACTCTAGTGGTCTGACTGAATGACCCCAACTGCACTATTTCCCCAAATGGAAATAGTGGGGAGTGTGTTTTGACAGTTTAATAGCCTTCCAAACCAGGGCTGAGACACAAACAGAGCTGCTTCAGTTCTGGGGCAGCCTGTTTTAGAGCCAGGGGAATAAGCATAAGTCTTCAATGGGACAGTGCTTCAGGTATGAGGAGACAGCGATGAGACAGCCCTGCAGTCACCTGTCGCCATCTCTGACCTCTGCAGCTCTAAGGTGTTCATGGTTTATTTTCCGAAGAAACAGTGGGTGAAGAGACCCAGGTGGGTCGGGGGTGGGAGGGACCCTGTGCTTCCCTGGGACTCTCAGCCATTCCCCTCCACTGTGCTGCTCTTGGGCACCCCCTTGAGGATGAAATTAGTTTAGAATTTATGGTTTTGGTGAAAGAAACTAACTGGAAATCTTTAAGTTATTTGTTTTAAAAGTCACAAATGCCTGTGTACAGATACTGATATACTTTTCACAGCTACCAGGGTTCTCCTTACCAGTTCATCCCAATGGCAGAAGGTGACTAGCTGACCAGATAATTAGGGTTGGTGGAGAGGTGTGGTTTGAGATTGGTTTCATCTAGTGAAGCCCAAGAATTATTTCCTCACAGCATGGAGTTCCTCCTGGATATTTTTTTCCCAGAAAGTTCAGTGTGTCTGTCTGATTTTCTGACTGTGTGTCTCACTCTTTCTGCCATTGTTACTCTGATAATTCTTTCGAACTCTGATGCCCTTTTTTCCCCCCTGTGACAACTCAATTGCTATTTCTTACAA